CAAAAGGTCAAATATGATGGTACCCTTAGAAAGGTCTTGTCACAAGGAATACATATGTGAAATATGAAAGTTACAGTTCCAACCAATCAAAAGTTATGGGCAAGGTTAAAGATTTTGCAGACAGACGGACGGACAGGGCAAAAACTATATACCCCCGAATCTTCAATACGGGGGCATAACAATTCCTGTCTCATTCTAATACATGTACAAATCAAAGAAAGTCTAGCAACAATCTTTATTCGCATTTCATTTTTTGGACTGATTGCGCAGAAATATTCGCAGAAATATTCCGTCTGCCTATAACATCAGTGACCGTTATTACGCCCCCGTATCGAAGATTCGGGGGTATATAGTTTTTGCCCTGTCCGTCCGTCTGTCTGTCTAGCTGTCTGTTTGTCCGCAAAAACTTTAACCCCCTGCTGTTCCTGAATAAATTTCTTCTCTATATTCCTAAAAAAAATTGTCCACATGTTGTGGCCCAACCGTATCACTTTTGGAGCCATGATTTTTAACAAACTTTAATTCTTTAATTCCTACCCAAGGATGCTTGCATACAAATATCATTTATCATTGTTCATCAGAAGAAAAATGTTGAAGATATATATACATTCCCTTGTAAAACTTTGATGATTTGAAAAAAAAGAAGAAAAGAAACTTGAATCAGCGTTTCTCAAAAATGCTTGCATATTAATGTAATTGTCATGTTGTGAATTTTGAATTTACCGGGTGACAGTAGAATTTACATGACAACTGATGTCATGTTGCAAATTTTGTATTTACTGCCACCTGGTAAATTCAAGGGGCGTTGTGGTCCTTGGGGCTGTTGTTATTTCAAGCAATTTTTTGAATTATTTTTCATCAACCTATAAAATTGCTGGATAAATCCTTCGAATGAGTTCAAACAATGAGGTCACTCGAACCTTTAAGATATTTAATTTCATAATGCTATACATCCAATCTGCTTATGCCTACAAAGGACAAATTTCACACTAAGTAAACTTCTTACAAAGTAACGACCTTGTAATGTTATCGGTATTTACATTATAAAACTGATTATAAATGGAATAATATTACGTAATGTTGATATTATTTGCCAGTGTGAATTACAATTTAGAAAAAAAAATGTGAAGTAAAATGAAAAAGGATTTTAAAATAAAAAGAAAAGGACCGACATGTTCTAGTTCTGATTTCATTCTGTTTTATAAGTTCCAACTCCATCAAAGGTTCAAGTGAACTTTTCGATTCATCTGTTGTCCGTTGTTTGTCTGTTTGTGCGACTGTTGACTTTTCATTTTCGACTTCTTTTCCAGAAGTAGTGGACCCATTTTAACAAAACTTTCCACAAAACATCCTTAGGTAAAAAGACATTCAAGTTTGTTCAAATGAAGGACCATACTTCTGTCAAGTATAATCAAGAGCAGTCAAAATAGGGGTAGCGTTCTTCTGAAGAACCACTAGGCCAGAAAAGATATAGTTTATGTAAAAGCTTCCTAACATATTTGTTTTGTTCAAATTATGGTTTGGTTGGGTCACCATTCACCACTGGGGATCATAGTTTTGAATAGGGGAATATGGCAATAAATAAATAACATCTGCTCATGAAAAGCAGGACCCCTGTTTAGTCGTATTGATATGCAAGCACCTTCAGACAACGCAGATTCAAATTTATTCAAATATGGTCCCTTTTAGTAGGGTGGAGCCAAAATAGGAGATCAAATTTTTACAAGGAATATAAAGGGAAAAAATAAAACTTTTTCGAAAGAACAGGAGGGTCATGATCAAACTTGTTAACATGTAAGCATTCCCAGATACTGCAGATTCAAGTTTGTTTAAAACTTGGTCCCTTTAGATAGAGTTGAGCCACAATAGAGGATCAGATATTTACTAAGGAATATGTAGGAAATAAAAAAAAATGTTTTCAAGAGTAGAAGAGTCACACTAAATTAGATTAATATCATGGAAATATTCTCATATATAGATTCATTTTATTCAAACTGTTTACTCTAAAGTTGGTAGGGCTAAATCGGGTGAGCTGTATGGCTCTTTGAGCCTGTTGTGTCAACCTAGGTTAACTATGTGACCTTTGCCTGTGTCAGTTTCTTAGTTCTAGACATATAATTTAAATTTCATGAAACACCATGTACGTGCCAGTTACCCAAAACTGCATGGACCACTTGCTCATGTTGTGTTTAACCGTGATTGTACAGTAAAGGGAAACCCGGTAATATTGTAGGGTGAATCCCCCTCTCCGTCCCTCCCCTCTTTATGTTTACTCTAAGTCCCCATTTATGATTCTTAGTATTTGGTTTTGAACTGTAATTGTACAAAGCAGCATGCACCAAGGAAAGGAACCGTGATTTAAATTTTAGCCATATGACAAAGAACCTCATGGTGGCATAGTTCTGCCACCACTTGTCAGTTTACTATGTCGACTTGTCAGATTATTATATTGACTTGTCAGATAATTATGTTGATTTGTCAGATCTTTTTGTCGACTTGTCATTTATTCATATGTTAAAAGATTCAACATGAAAACGAGTCCATGCCCAGTTTTTGCAATCCAGTTGATATCGTATTTTTCCGATAAGTCGACAATAGGATCTGACAAGTCGTTATACTTATCTGACAGGTTGACAAAACATCCGAAAAGATGACATCATTTTCTGACAAGTCGACGTAACATTTGACAAATTTACATAATATCTGACAAGTCGACATCATTAACTGACAAGTCGCGTAAAACATCTGACGAGTCGACTTGTCAGAAAATTATGTCGAATTGTCAGAAAATGATGTTGACTTATCAAATATTATGTTGTCAAGTAGATGTCAGTTAGTAGCAATAACAAGCTTTAATATCAAGATACCGAGTTCCTAGCCATGAGGATTATTATCTGACAAGTCGACATAGATATCCGACGAATTGACATAAAGACCTGACAAGTCGACATAAAGATCTGACAAGTCGACACAATTATCTGACAAGTGGTGGCAGAAATATGCCACCATAGAGCCTAGAATCGAAATACTACGCGAAAATATTTAATCTTATTTACTTATATATGTGTCTAGTGAGAAGAACGTGTCACCGTGTTCTCTAGTTGAAGTAGAAAATCGTGTCACTTATTATTAAACCTTTTTGCGGCTTTATGAATCATACTAGATCACGGTTGATTAGTTTAATAAGATTAAACATTTTAATTCGTTAAACACATTAACATAAACCACGTTCTTGAAATAAAAGGGAATAATTTAGCTGAGTCTAGTCTTTTCCTCTCGATTTTCAGTACCATACATCAGAAATAATATACTCTAATATACTGTCCTTTACGTAATTTAGAGTTTGTTGAAGTTGTGCATACATGACGATTTCAAATATGAATTTCCATATTCCAAATTCAGTAAAAGACAATGCACTTGCTTTAATTAGATACACAGGATGCAATGTATATATCCCATATATTGTATTTCTTCAAGAACGTATTGCATTGCAAAAAGGACTGTGTCTGAGGCTGCAAATATCCACCCCCACCCCACCCCCACCTGTCCCCATGCAAAAATAAATAAATAAATGATATTTTTATTACAAAAGACAACGGTGTATTGTAATTTTAGGGAGGGGATGTCAAAACTTGGTTTCAATAAGCAGTTCCTATATTGTTACCAAGCGTACAAAAGTTTAAATATCTCGAAAACCCACATTTATCAGTTTATTGCATAATCTCTCTCTCTTCTTTCTCTCTCTCTCTCGTAAAGTATCATAAGGAAAGTACAATTAGTATTTTCTGATATGCACTGTATATTGATTCATGTTTTAAACAATAATTAAGGATTATTGATTATAAGATCAGTCCATTCCACTGTCAGTCCATTCTGCTAATTATGGAGAGTTATGCTTGTCCTGCTTGTCTGTTTTCTAATTTATATATGTATTAGTGCAAATATTTCATTAATAATAAGAATTTCAGAATTATGTGCTGAATTATCCTCAGGGCCATTTAATTGTCTCAGATATGATGACCGAAAAAGTCTTTTTTTAACAATGACTCCCTTGATTTTTATAAACTATTACATAGAATAACGTTATCTTTAAACAAAAACCTCTTTGCAAAGGAGCTACACGTGTATAACAGCCATTACAAACTTTTGTAATGAGGTTTTTGTTGAGTTATTTTGTCGTTTGTGGGTCCTGCTGATAATTTCAGCGTTTTATTGATTTCCCATTGTTTCCGTGACTTCCTGGTATGTTGATGTTATAGATGTAGATAAATATTAAATATCACATTTTTTTTTTTCAAATCAAAGGCAACTGAAATAAAGATAAAATAGATGTATGTTGTTGCTTTCTTTTTTCCATAAAATATATTCATTTAATTTAAATTGTTAAAATGATTTTTCTACCCTTTGATATTTGAACAATGTGTCTTTGATATCGATTGTTGGGCGTATATAAATAAATGGGATAAGGAGAATTTTTGAAAGATCGAAGACATTAAATCCCGTACAAAACAAGAAAGAAAAACTTTATTTATTTATATAACGTCACGTACTTTAATAGTTTTTTGTTAATAAGTGGAATTTCTCCAAACGTACGTAAAATACAGTAACACTCCGGCTTTACTGAATTAAAAGAATCGATACAAGATCGATTTCTTTTGATTCCTATAAACGGACAGAAAAATTCATGTATTCAGTTACAGTATATACACTTCTTCTGAAATTTCAATGTCAAGGCAATTTTGCTCTTAATTTAGAATGGCACATAAGCATGACAATATGTGTGTATTCAATAAAGTCGCTCAAGCATGTTGAACCAATTGAAATGAATCTTACAACGCCGTCGATCGCTATGTGCATTTTTTTCTTTGTTCCCTACCGAACAGTCGCAGAAGGGCCTGTTTGATTGGTCGATTTGTTCCCTTTCTAATTATCATATCACTGACGGAACACATGCACCGAATGCAAACTAAGCAGATTGATATAAACATTCATATAGTAAACCGCTGAATATTTGATGTAAAAGACGTTAACATGTAAACATCCGAACTTTTGTTAGAATCACACGCGTGTCGGGGATCTACTATTCTCCGCCCGTACCGCGTTGGAAATATCAGTGTAAATGGAAAATCAGTGACTTACAAATGTGTTTATTTTTGTTTACCTATAAATTTTTGTAAATTCGTTTTTTTCTTATTTACAATATGGATACAAATAACACGGGTTCTGATACGGGTACCGAGGATAGAACGGCCAAGCGGATCCTAAGGGAACGTTCGTCCAGGTAGGCCCCGCTCAGTCATATTTTCCATTAATTTTTATGTAACTAGGTCACTTAATATACGTGTATATATATATATGTGTGTGTTCCAAAATTGTAAGTTTTTGTTCTCCCTACAATTAATCGTTCAAAATTGGGAGGGAAAAAAACGCCAAGTCATTGATTAATGAATGTGTTTTGCATGGATATTGTGTAGATCTATATTGATCACAAAAAAAACCTTGACATGACACGAACCAGATGTATATAACTAATAAAATGGTTGTAATGTAATATATGTACACTTGCGAGGGGTTAAAGTGGACATGATCTGTGAAAAACACATATCTACACTTCAAAACTCCCCCATTAACTTAGCAGGTGTCCTTGTTGACATGAAGGTTTATGTCAATCTAATCCTTTCACCCTGTTCCCAAGTTTTCTGCGAACGTTATGATTATTATAATTGACCTCGTTAATGAACTACATGTACTAAACCCGATTTCTAGATCGAAGCTGACCATTTCTTGCTAGGGCCATATCAGATCTTTGTTTGGTGTTCCTGGGCCTTTAGTTGATTGTATTGATGACAATGATCTTTTAACTTGGGGTTACTCTATTTATTCTATGTACAGCTGTTTAAAACGAAGAGAATTCAAACTCGGCCTGCGTAGCGAATGTCCCTTGTGTTAGAGCTGCTCGATACATAAACCTCAAGTACAACATTTAATTTGTTGTATAATGAACTAGATATCTACAACTGACAATTTGATCGAATATAGACTAGTACAAGATCGACCACAATTATACCACTCAGTATGCACTTGATAAATAAAACATAACTATATAGATTGGACTGTTGAAAAAGAGATGTACACTGCAATGCTATCAACAAGAGCGGACAACAAATGACCTTGAGCACGTCAAAAATTCAAGGCTACACACATTTTAAAAGATTAGATACGGGCGAATTCCAGTCCACGAAGCGAGGTGGTTAGAAGATTACCTTTTGCTAGATCTGTAGGCAAATGAGCATACTGTGAACATGCGGCTAAAATTTGCCCGTGGAAAATGGATAGGATGCGATGTGAAATGTCCGATCATGGTGGCATGACTAATTTCTTGTTGTTTTTCCCTCATATATCTTATGTTATGTCAATAAAGAGAAATATTGAGCAAAGAAAGATGTAGGCTTAGTTTGAAAATCACAGACCAAGATTCATCATACCAAATAGTTACACTATAGTTTTTTGGTGTGGACGCTTAATCAGTTAACGATTCCTTGTAAAATTAGAACATTGTATACAGTTTCCCAAGATGAAAATAAATAAATAAATAACCCCGTGTCTTTTGTCCAGGCAAACACACATTTTACATGTAGCACCTGTATCCCCCGATGTCATGCAGTTTACATGACCGCGAAGTAAAGAGGTAAATGACCCGATATTTTGTCCATTGCCTCTTTACGCAATCGGAGTAAACGACTAACCGGGGTCCTATATCCTGAGGCCGTTCACATTGTTTGGACACTTATGTACTTAGTGCTAAGTTCAAAGGTCGATTCATCGACCAATGCACAATATTGGTAGGTTTTATCTGAAAGACTGACGTGTTCCAGGGTGCTTTTGTCAGTTTCTTGTTCTAGAACCATAAGGAAATGCTTTATCTGTTTCAAAAAAAAAAAAAAAAAAAAACAGAAACAAAAACAAAAAACACTGACCAAATATAGAGAACACGTCAGTAACAGAAACCAGGCTGTTTTATTTCGGTCTCTTGTGCAATATTTAAAAAAAAAAAGCATGTGTAAAACCTAATCACTCCCTCAAGGAGAAGGAAAAATAAACAAATTGCGATCCAACACGGACTTCAAAGTATTTTTTAGTTGGTTGGTTAATTACAGAGCTGCAGGCAGAGGTTCTACCTGTTATTATACCCAGCATCACCTGACTGTAGGTCTGAGGTTTTATGCTGAGGTGTGCAGTATGTAATTGATTTAATAATTAAACAGTCTCCCAAGAGGTTGTACCAGAATAAATCGAAGTCAAATTACGATTGTCCAGAGGCGTGTCCGTAGAATATTTATGCAAACTCTTGTGATATACTGCTATATTTGCTCTATATTTAAATTTAAATGCAATTCATTTCTTTAATGCAACTTCTCTTATTTTCTTTTTCAAATGCAACTGCTGATTTTTATATTCAAATGTAATAAAACTTCAATATCCATTACAAATAAATGATGACAAATATTAGGGTCTTATTTTGTTAAATTTAATAAAACTAAGATGTTATTATCAATATTAATAATATTTCATTATATATACTGTATTTTTTGGAAACTGATCTTGATGAACACGGATCTGTAGATTGGCGACTGTTTCATCGATCGGACCCGAGAGTAAACTAATTAACATACCGGCCATGGTCAATTCTGATAGCAATGGGAAGTTCAAAGTTCTTTATTTAATTTACAATTGCATTTCTCCGGAAAATGCCGGTCATGCAGTTCTAATGTGTTGTCGGGTTGAGGCGAAGTTCAACATTTGTATGCTATTTTGTTCTTTTTTCGTTTTTGCCGGCGAATTAAACTTGCCTGGTTGTTTTAATTTTTTTTCTTTTCTGCACTTTTTTATTCTACTATTTGAAAGATAGGCGGGAACGAATATTATGCACATTTAACTGGCTTTTAATGATTTTAATTACTCGGGTAAGTGACTAAAAAATACAATAATTATATTTGAAACTCGGAGAGGGAAGCTGGTTCTTGCTGATTAAAGTGTAAAAACAAAACAAAACAAAAACCAAAAAAGAAACAAAAGAACTATTTTCTATTTTTGTTTTGGAATTCTCTACTACATTTTAGATTAGTTTGCATAAAATATGTATATATATATATATATATATATATATATATATATATATATATTTGCTAATTGTTTAAATTTTGTTCATAGGCAAATATCCTTATCATAATAGTTTTGAGACCATAGAATCATATTTTTTTTATATTTCTCTGTTGCAGGCGTCCTCTTCAGCTAAAACTGAGACAAAAAAGACAGACAATGCAAAACATGACCAGACCCTTAAAACAGTGGCTCTGCAAAAATCGAGACAACCCCTACCCTTCTAAACTGGAGAAAGAAATCCTTGCCCGTGAATCTCAGATGACCAACACACAAGTCTCCAACTGGTTTGCCAATGCTAGGCGGAGATTGAAGAATGCTGTTAAGGGAGATAATATTGCTTGGTCCACTCGAGTCAAATTATACAATAGCAGCGTCCCTGGCAACGCCGAGCTTCTCAGCATCAGTTCCGATGACAGTAGTCTCTTTGATTCAGATGATAACGGTAAGAGCTAATAGAACCTTAGATATTGGATGAGGAATTCTTCATTTGGATCTGAAAATTGCAAGATTAGAAAGTAGTCTGATTTCTGACACAAATAGGGAATTATTTCTAAAGATATTTGGTATATATGAGATACTAAATAGAATCTCAAAATAGTTATTGGAAATTTAACATATCATTTCTGTGTATATTGATATTGGACCAGAACAATGATGTCACAATGAATTATCTGCTAGTCTATCAGGTCCTGACCCGATTATGCAAGAATTGTTGAAAATAGACGTCATTAACCAGTTTCTCAGCTGCGTACCTAATAATTACATCACACCTGAGAGGTTGCATCCTATTTTCTTGGAATTGATTTTGATGTTATAATAGCAACCAAACTACCAGATAGATCTAGTTAGATTTAGTAAGGCCAAGTAAAACGATTACTGTGGAAAATAGGGCAGAAACATTGGAATCAGCTCCAACAAAGGATTTCTTCAATGTTTGGACACAATCCAAATGTTTATTTCCCGGAAACAATTTATAATTTTTCAGTTCACTGAAGAAATCAATCACTATGACAGAGCTAGCAAGGAAATTCTGTTAAAGACAGAAACTGCACTGTGGTGCGGTCCATACCTGATATAGACCACTCTTCACAGACCTCATCCCCTCTCTTTTATAAGTTATAATTTTCTGTGGATAATGAATATTTTACATGACACACACTGAAATCTTATTAAGCCATTTTTAAACTGTAAAACAGGAACTATAGCTTCAAAAGAAGTTGCATCATTTTCAAAATATACAGACTAGCTAAAAAATTATGACAGAGATCAAACTGCTAACGTCATTCTAATCTCAAACAATTGTTGTTAGAACCTTTTGTCCTTGACAGTGGCTGTTTAACAAAAGATTGATATCTTTCGTTTTAAAGCTCCTACAAACCTGTCAAGAGAGCGAAGGTTTTATATATTTGTTAGATCAAATTAGCCTCGACAAGTGTGCTCTTGTGAAGCAAGTAGATAATACGCAATAATCTAAAATATATACACATTCTGTTTTTAAAATTGCTTTGATGCAGTTTAACTGAAGTTTTAAAAATGTTGCCATTTGCATGTCTCCCGGGAAAGTGGGTATAATAGGTTAGGTCTATAATTAAGCTCAGATGAATAGTGCAGATGACACCCACTTTTGTAATAACGATGAGTCACACACTTACAACGGAAAGTCTTTAGCTTTTGTTTGCCATTAATGAAAAAAAGCTTCCAAGTTTATTCTGTCGATTCCAGTTCACGCGAAGCTGGCAAATCGCGTAATACTCGAGTCTTTGTTGATGCAGCACAGCCTTCACCCCTGCGTGATCTTTTTTGTGGAGCAATAATTTTCTCTAAGTAAATATAATTTCTACAGGCACGGTGATTTCAATGGATCGTTAAGTTCAAGGCCACTGGGACAGGTGATAAGTGGGCTCTTGATTTGGAGGGATCAAAATACGGGATGATCATCGACCTTTTGGAACTAAATCTCCCTTACACAAATTTATGGAAGCTAAATTAAAAGATTTTTTTAGAGACGTTTATTTTATTAGACCTAACAAAAATGATTTCTTTTCAAGAGATACATATAGCAATAATGCGCAGTATCTACATTTGTCAAAAGCACATTTTGCACCCGTGAATTCTTTGAACTTCATTACGCAAGGACAATGGACTGTTAGATTAAATACCCACATGGCCTTAGAAATATTCGATATCTTGTGTGTACATGAAACAAGATATTTGATTATGAATAGTGGGCGCTCTGGAATCAGCATATGTCATAGTGAAGGCCGTGTGTACAGAGGACGATGACTCTAGCTGGTTTGATAAGTGAGTACAACGAATGCGTGACGTAAGATTCGATCTGACCTTGGACGAAGCAGTATAAAAAGCTTTTTTTTTATTTGTCCAATTAATGTGAAACACATGTAACTATTCCCAGGATCTGAACTTTTCACTGCATAAATGCCAGATAAATATTTACACCAGAAATGAGTGTTTTCTTAGTGATTGGAGAATCTTGAATGCAACAAAGTTTTTTGACCATTTAAATTGCACGTGTTTTCCTGTTAAACACACGTGAAACTTATTCGGTCTTTTACGTTATGAAGTCAGCAAAGTGTTCTTTTAACATTAAACAAGGAAATTGATTAAATGTTGCACTGGGTGGGTTCCTGAATATATTCATAAGACAAACAAACGTATTCCGTTTAAACAAAGTAATACAGATGTACTATATTTCAACCCTGAAAACACCTAGGTGATTGGCCTTTTGTGTTTGCAGGGTCAAGATAACATTTTTGGAATTTTATTTTTGTTAAACCGAACTCAGTTGAACAATGATAGGGATAAATGTTTCGAGGAATAAAATAAAGACAATGGAGGTGACTAAGTGTGGTATATTGGGGGTCACAAGCAAGGACAAAAGCTAAAGTTTTAATGCAGGGAAATTTACATGCAGATTATTACTCACTATTACATTTAGACAAAAGTCATTTCTGGAATTAAATTGTAATATAATGTAAGACATAGTCCGAAGATTCTGGTTTTCTGTTCACCTTTCATTTTGTATAATCTCAGGTAAAGGCTCCTATTTCACGGTGTTCAATTTTGAGTCTGGAAACTTTTGTGACATTGCTTCCATCATCGGATATTTATACAACTCTAATGCCTACAGTGACAAAAAATGAAATGCTTTTCTGCATTTTATCAGAAACTTCACAGGATCGCGAAGTCTACCTTCCAGTCATTTTTGCTTAGTTTGCATTTACTGTCAACGTGTAATTAACCATGCTAGAAAAGGCACAGAATGGTTTATGTACTCCGTACACAATACGTTGACCTTCCGTACATTTCGCCCTACAGATATTATTTCCTTCATGATTCACCGCTCTGACCACGTAAAAGCATACATCACATTGTATGTCAAGCTAGTTCAATATATCTATAAATTAAAGCGAATCTTCCGTCAAATTACTTTCAATCAATTTTGTATAGAGGGGAAAAAATCTCATGCGTGTTCAAGCAAATATAGACAGACATGAACAAATTAAATACTCGGAAATGGTGGTTTGACAAAACGCAGACGAAGTAAGAAAGCTGGTTAAATAAAATGTTTAACTTTCCTGATGAGTCTGTGTTAATGAAATTGCAAAAAGAGAACTGTTTTCAACTATTCTGCAGGGAAATAGAATTTTCAGTTAGTTCATTAAATTAATGGAACGCATTCAACCAGTTTATAACCTACATATACCCCCTGCAGAGCTCAAAAGCACCTGGTACCAAAACCGAGTAGTTCTAGAAATGGGAAAAAAAATATTTCAGTACAATATTGATTTGTAGTTACAATATAACATTTATCATTTGTATTAATACAATTATTTGATATTCACAGTTTTACACTTGTATTCTCTGTGCTGTTGCGTTAAAATGTTGTTAATTTTCTATTAAGGTATATATAATTATATGTATATCACACCCATATGTGTCAAGCAACTCTCCTCTTTTGATTTGTAGACGATTCAATAACAAACACAGATGAACAGATTCACACATCAGATACACGGGTAGGATTCAGTCCTGTGGTAGAGGATCCACCCTCCGATGACGTGGTTGTTCCGTCTCGATCTCAGACCCCTACCATTGGATTTTTCCCGCCATTGGAATCCGATTTCCATAGGCCTTTCAGAGAGTGCATGCAGGGACCTCAAAATAAATTTAAACAGACAATTCTGCAGCGTTACTTGAGTGACACGTGCAACCAGGCCTCTGCCACTCATGTTGACATGGAAATGTCTGCATTCAACAAAACTAGATCTCGGAAACCATCAGGGTCTATAGGGTCACGTGACTACGAAGAAATGTCCACGGCTTCTGGGTTCTCGTCTGCTGCTGAAAGTCAGTTCTACTACCCAATAGATGGTAAGATGACACTGATATTTAATGCAGAACACAAAATAAAGGCATACATTTTCTTCACATACGAATTCATTTGAACAGATAGGGAAGCTCCGCGTTATGCAAACTAAGTGCATGGGCTTTATGTAAGTTTTCTAGAGAGAAGATGGAGGTTTGAAGGACTTTTGGAAGGTTATCCATAAGATAAAGCGTAGTGAACTCTACACAAACTCGGGTCAATAGAACGGCAAGTCAGATCATATCTATTCCACAGCCTCGTGTTACTTCTTCATATAACTTAGGCTTGTTATCCACTTCAGATGGTTATGTTTATGATTGGTAAAACACACATCTTCTGTATTATGTCCTTCTCCGATATGCTTTCCTTATATCAATAATAAAAATCTGCAGTTTGAAAATATTCATGCATAATGCATTTTTTTTATATATTATAAGATTATGAATGCGATAAGGATAAATAGCGCACACAGGTTAAAACCTTTCTACATCTATATGACATTTATTTCGGACGATATACGATTAGCATGTAACAGGACAACAGAAAAGATTACGTAACATTTGAAGCATTTATTTGGCAGATGTTCCCACGATTTAGGCGTGCATCATAGAAGAAGTAAATAATAAGCGACATTGTTAAATTACGTGCTATACTGAAGCGACCTTCGACGGTGCATGTTTCTCTAAGCCGCCAACATTCCGATTTCTAGTTAGGTCCTGAACAAGCTTTAAAGCTAACTAATGCAGTTTACCTAACCGTTTGTATGAGTTGCGCTTAAGAGGATGAAAAAAACTTTCACAAGTTAATTGTTTGTCAAAACCCGAGTGCATTAACTTGTAAGAAAACTCCCTTATTAATTTAAAAAGTTGTAAGATAAGTATAACTGACTTCATGATCTTTTGCTTGACAGATCTACAAGTAAAACATTATAAATAAATGTGTTTGGGGCCACTGTCGATTAACTTCCTTATTAAAGAACCCTTTTTATAATTGCTAAATATTGTGGAAATACACAAATGCTGCAGTGGATGTTTAAGTCAAGGCTAACACGTGAACGTTGTGCAGATAAAAATATCAACGATTTATTTCCTGTGAACTTGTACTGTTGTGATTATTTTTGTCAGAACTTGTTTTAACATTGTTTGATGTATTTTTCTAATTCTTTATACATTTTTGTCCTATTTTTATACTCCCGCTTGAAAAATGGAGGTATATAGGAAAAGGGATGTCCGTCCTTCCGTTCGTACATCTGTCTATCCGTTACATTTTGGGATAGCTATCCCTTATCCGAAACTCCTCTTGTACCAGTGAATGCAATTTAATGAATCTTTCACGAATTCTCTATTACATAGTGGCATTGTTCATCTCCTATTTTACGATTCGATCAGACACATATATTTTAGGTTTCCCATAACCAAACGTGGACATTGGCATTCTTTATACTCTAAATCGCCTTTTATTCACAAGAACTTTATTTTCGCGTAATAACGCGAAATCGTGTGCACGCGAAAATTTCCTTCTTGTGTATATTTTTATGCCCCCGTAATCGAAGATTTTGGGGCATATAGTTTTAGGTCTGTCCGTCCGTTGTCTATCAGTCTGTTTGTCCTTAAAAACTTGCCCATAACTTTTGAATGGTTGGTGCTAAGGCATTCATATTTCACATGACTATTTCTTGTGACGAGACCTTTCTTTGGGAGTCAACAAATTTTATCTCTTGACCTTGACTTTGGAGTTTGACCTACTTTTGCAAAATTTTACCAAACTTTAACCTTGGCCATGACTTTCTAGGACTTTTATATTTTACTTGTGTATTCCATTTTTGATCTTTTGACCTTATCTTGAAGTTTGGCCTACTTTTGAAAACAATGACCTAAGCAATAATTTTTGAACAATTGGTGCTAAAACTTTCTTGTTTCACATGTGTATTCCTTGTGACAAGACCCTTCTTTGGGTACCAACATTTTTGAACTGTTGACCTTGGAGTTTGACCTACATTCGAAAATCTTTAACCTTGGCCTTGAGCTGCCATACGGGGGCTTCAGTGTTTCACAAACACATCTTGTTATTACTAAAATTACATACAACAATGACCAGGATTCGTGAAAAAAATTTCAGTAAATAACATTCTATAGAAAACATAGCTACTGTATGCTTGTGCTCCCTCAGTAATACGTCTGATGACCTTTTTTAGCTCACCTGAGCTGAAAGCTCAAGTGAGCTTTTCTGATCACATTTTGCCTGTAGTCCGTCTGTCTAGCTGTCTGGTCGTCTATAATCTTTTCACATTTTTGACTTATTCTACAGAACCACTGGGCCATTTTCAACCAAACTTGCCACAAAGCATACTTGGGTGAAGGAGGTTCAAGTTGGTTCAAATGAAGGGCCACGCCCTCATTCAAGGGGAGATAATGCAGAAATAGTGAAAAATTGGTGACATGTTTTAAAAATCGTCCTTTCAATAACCACCGGGCCAAAAAACTTGAAACTCATAGGAAACTTTCTTTACATAGTTTAGATTCAAATTTGTTCAAATGATGATGCAAGGGGGTAGGGTGGGGCTACAATGGGGGATTAAAGTTTTACAAAGGAATATATAGGGAAAACAATCTTTAAAAATCTTCTTCTCAAGAACAGCAAAGTCATGTATAGTCATATTGATATGGAAGCATCCTCAGGTAGTGTAGATTCAAGTTTGTTCAAATGATGACCCCTGGGGGTAGGGTGGGGCCACTATGGGGGATCAAATTTTTATAAAGAAATATATAGGAAAAAATCTGTAAAAGTCTTCCTCTCAAGAGCAGCAAAGCCATTTGTTATATTGATATGGAAGTATCCTCAGGTAATTTAAAATTCAAACCCTTCCCACCTGTAAACTTTTCAATACTGAATACTGAACTGATTTGTGCTTTTTCCTTGCTGATGTGCTCAGGTGAGCGAAGTGACCCATGTACCTCTTGTTTTAATTTTACTGTTATTATTTTACTTGTCAAGGAATTTTTGCTTGGTCGTGCCCCCCCCTAAAAATGTTTGCTTGTGCCCCCCCCCCCCCAACAAATGAAATTGGTTCCTATGGGCCTGTCCATATATTCCATAAAGAGGATACTCTTTATTTTCACGCATCTCCTCTTATAAATCCCTGAATGAAATTCAAGGGAATTTCACAGAATCTAATTCAAATACTGCCAAGAATTGCAATTTTCCAATATACTCATATGGGAGCAAGGATACCATTTTGCGAGCTCATGGTTCACAGTACCTTTAGTTTTCTTTGTTTTTGCCTAGAAACTGTTTCGACAGAATTGTTAGACAATATACTGAGTAAGAATACGTCAATAGCCGAATGTACCAAATAGCTTGTGTTTGCTCAAATTTGATTCGTACACTTTTCCTTGAAGCCCCATTGATAATTATACTTAGTGTTTGAGTTTGAGTGTATGTAGTCGTACAGAGAATGTTATGGTACAAAGTGCAGCAATGTTCCTGTTTATCCATATTTGTCAAAGCGACCGCGGAGCCATATCTTGATGACGTCAAAGGTCATGGAGATACAGTGGCCGCTATTACATTGCAAACGAAAGAAATCTACGCCACATCAATCTCTCCACTACTAATATCAGCTCTAAGGCTGCATTCAGATTCATGTTTTGTATAAAGTCCGTCCTATAATCTTTTTCAATTTCTAAGAAACCTTATTCCTTATCTTTTTTTTTTTTTCGCAGAATGCACTGTATTTTAGTTTTAGGGTTTGATAGTACTAATTATTCTGATGTCTTTAAGATTTCATTATACGATATAAGAGATTACACAGCATGAATTATAGACTTGTTGTAGAGAAACATCGAGTTCAAAACACTAAAAGATTATTACCACCTGTCTTGAAAACAAAATTTCACGGTTGCATTTTTTGAAGTAAGTTTGCAAAAAGTTAAATCTGCATCTCTATTTTTAGACCCCGTGGATGAATTGGAAGCCGCCGCTAGGAGGCGCAGGATCTCAGGAGATGTAAGGTAAGGACTAACTATCTTTCTAACGAGTCTTGGCAATGATGGATCTCTCTTCCATGTAAATGTGTTTGCGATCGGGAGGCCCAGGTTTTGTGACTGTTTCTTCGCCAAGCAATCAGCATTGGAAGTGAAAGTCACGGATCTTTCGGATTTGACTTTCAAAAACAAAGGTCCCGTATCGCGGTAGGCTTTGGCACGATAAGTACCCCTTCACCGCTACGGCTGTAAGCGCCATGCATAGGTCAAAATTCGTGGCACTCCGCATAAAGTTTGTGACGTCTCTACATGAGTATAAAATTCTCAAGTTTTTAGGGTTTTTTATTGGGGGGGGGGGTGTCAATTGTTGCTACTAGACATGTTTTGGGCTTTAAAACTACCTTTAATATCTGATGAACCAGAAATTTAATTTCCAATGGATTGATTTTTTCCTTACTTTTCAATCTAATGATTTAGAACATTATTTCTTTTCATATTTTCAGACGACAAGATGATATTCACTGGAAGGAGATCAGTGCCGCCATGGCCCTTACGTCACTGGCACGCGGAAGCAGATACCCATACCACTAAATATATTTTGCACACTTCGTTCGGGATCCTTCGAGTATACGGCCAGTTACCAACCACAGTGATCTCCCCTTGTTCGAAGTAGAGGAGTGTTTTTAAATATTAACATTTTTTCCTTTAACAATATTATCTCAATCTTCAGGGACAGAGTTTAATCTTTATACGTGTTCAGTGAAAGTTTTTGTAGAATGATCGGTCGGATATGTGTTTTAACTCTGTGATTCGGTCTTACGTCAAATGGCAAACGTTTGTGTTTCTATGTACAGATATTCCACATATTTTTTAATCATTGTTCATAGATATTTTCATTGCCATGGTTACAGTAGTTAGTTGTAAATGTTTACAAGATGATATATTTTAATCTTTTAATTGTTATATATTATATACATTTCACTTGTAACTAGTGTAGTGAGCAACAGTTTGAATGTCAAGAATGAGCGCTGATACAAAGAAAAATTTGAAAAAAGCGCAGCCATGGATGGAAAGGGACGTCTAATAATTCTATAAATATATTTCAACACAATAAGTGTTCTGTTTTTATTTGCATGTGCATCTAAGTTACCACCCTGCTCCTTATGTGCGCGATTTTGTACAAATTCCTGACCGAAAGTAAATGAAGAGTATTACTAATTCTGTACGTAATAATATTCATGAAATAAAAAGAGCAAGTTTTTAGAAAGTCTTAAATGAACATTTTCTAGCATTGTCGTAGTAGAAAAATCATATATACTTTCTGAGCAGGGGGATATCCTTACATGGAAACGAATTGGTAAATGACCTTTCGAGCTAAAGGTCAACTTGAAATTATCCTTTTTGTTAATATCGACCGCTACAGTTTAGTGACCCTCCAATCCGTACTACACACTGAATTGTAGGACTGTCTTCTGAACTTGAGTCTACCTTTTGTTTGCTTTGTTCCTTCTGAAACCCATTCCGGTAATTTTACCTGAAGGAGGCTCATTAAATGTTTTCAAAATCGGATTGTCTGGATAAATGATTATTTTTGTACAGTTTTCTAGTAAACAGATTTTTTGCTCATTAAACATCTGCGTTGTCTGTAGAGTCTCATCTCTTCCACGTCAAATCGCAAATGCTAATTGCACCGAAATGTCGCAGAGTAGCCATTTTAACGTAAACTGTCTTCGGGGTTGTAAGTAGTATGTGATGTAAACGATTTTAATATACTCCCACGTTTTAAATAAACATATTTGTCAAATCTAAGATGTGATATGCTTCGAGGCAGTTAATATGCTTATTTGGGGAAAAAAAGGGAAACGTGCGCAGATTGTGTAATTTGCCTTGACCCTTGCATTAAAGTATTAAATACCAGAAATACTATATCATTGATTTCGATGTATACATATGCATTTAATACGATAACAATGTCACAAAAATCGATAGCATTATGCAGACGGTTTGTTGAAAACAAAGAGTGCATTAAGGTAATGATCATAAATTAAAAATTCTCCAACAATTCTGAGCGACATTAGAGTTACATTTTTCATTTAACCATTGTTTGATTGTTAAAGAGGATCCGCCCTATGGACCAGATGTACGGAAAATGTGTAATTAGAGGCTGGAGACTGCATACGTGATGCTGGGTGGGGGTTGAAGTGACCTTTATTGTGAAAAATGGGAAATTTCCTACAGGGAAAATTATCATGGCAAAACCGAGTTTGATTATTCGCTGCCTACTATTAATACTATCTAGCATAACATTCTAATTTGCTTCAGCAGCTGTTCAAAGCATGTGTGTAAGAGAAGTATTCATAATCATTTCATCCTGGGTCATCAGAATGATTTTAAAAGAAGTTTGCAACGGCTTGAACGTTGACGTTAACATTCAACAAAATTCACGTACTCGGTAGTTGAACATAACCCGGAGAGAACAAACCCACTTCACAAAAGTTAATTTTTTCTTATTCCTATCATTGTCAGTCAAAATCGCAAAAGGGGGGGTCTATATATTCTTTACGTATTCACCACAGGCACTTGTTTCGAAAATAAATTTTTTGACCTATGGCATAATAATAACAGAAGTGTTATTATTATACCGTGTGGCAAAATAAAAATTCCGAAACAAGTGCCTGTGGTACTCACCCCTATTAGGACATAATTCTCCGTATCCATCAAATATGAAATACTCTGGCATTTATTTAAAGCATTTTAAAGTAGGAAAGGATTTATCGAAAGAAATTTAAAAATATATATATTCACGTAAGCAGTGATTAATCAAAGATTGCATAGAGGTCTACGAAAATAAGCTAATTTTAAACATAAAAATATAAAATATTAGAGGATACAAACAAATGCCAGAGTGAAAACATACATTTTATCATTAGGAATTAAAGGATTTATTAATTGAATATATATATTTAGATAACTGACTTTTTTATTGATTAAAAACATAAGGAGATAACTCTTCAAGTACAGGTTCAAGGTCATAAATTAGGAGACATTCAATTCTTACATACTGGTGGTTATAAATGGAAATTGTGTAAATACAGAAAGTATTAAAACAGAACATATCTGTTACATGTGTAAATGCCTTCAAATGTATTGATTCTAGGGCTATTATGGACAGAATTTCTTTAATCACTCAAGCAGTTTCTAGTTTATAGCCCCTTTTCAGTACTTTGCTGGTCTTGAATATTATCATATACATATTAACATTCCATTATATGGAACATAACATAACATGGAATGTTATTTATTTTCAGCGAATAATAACATATGCAGTTTATCGCACTATAAATATTTTTGTGTGCCCTAAATTATTAGATGGCATTTATGTTTCCAATTTCTAATGCAGTTATATTGATCTATACTATTGATCACCAAGTCCTTTTAAATCTATAAAAGGAAGGGTCTATTTAAGCATAAATAAACGTGTTCGGCTTTAGAATTGTAAATTTGATTATTTAGATAAAGATACGAGCATTTGTTATTTTAAACTAAAAAGAGAAACACCTATCAACTTAGTTATATTATATCTATGCAGTATCAACTACTTTACATCATGTAACTTTATTTAGATACCGGTACTATAGTTGTTTTATTGAAGTGGAAAATACAAATAAAAATGAATAAGTATAAAGCTGAATGATGTAGAGACATAAAATGAAATGAAGAAAAAATATATATTATATTTTTGTGTCATTTAACATTATTTTGTTGCCAAACGTGAGTAGTAGATTCAAACTTCATCACTTATATCTTCACTAGCGTAGATTTTATCCGAGCACTCCATGCCATTAAAGATTTCTGACAATCTAACGTCGCAACATCTACTGTGGAAGGGGAGGGGGTCATTGAAGAAAAAAATAAACAAGAAATAGAGAAACTATTGACTTAGTCCTACAATAGTATCACGGCTCCATGGAAAAAAATGTGATTCAATTGAGTGACGTGGATTGAAAATACCGGGTAATCAGTTCCTTTGGGAGCTAGTATGAAATATTTTTAGTAGGAATAACAGCTATGGGATTGTGTACTAATTTATGTGAAGTGGCCAGTGTTCGTGACTGTTAGGTTTCTATGTAGACGTGACCAAACCCACAGAGCGTGTGTTTTCAAAGACGGACGAAAATCTCGTACTTCCGCACGAATTCGTTTTGAACAGTAGAAAAAGTCTGAATCATTTGTTGTTGTTTTTTGTACATTGGAACAAGGAGCAATTACAAGAATATTTTCTTTGAATTCTTGGCTCATCCAATGTTTTGTAAACCTTTCTAAATACACCTAAATGTTATATCCATTTCTCATTAAATGAATTATTTAATACAGACGAATTAATAGGCAGCTTGAGACACAAAATATATTCATATTCATTGAGCTAATTTGCATACACACGTCTTGCATATGTTTCCTGTATAAAAAGGAATAATCAAACTTTGTATGATTTAATTCCTTCTTGCGTAATGACTCAGAACTGGTATAAAGGAAGCTCCACTATAGGCCCTGTTTTTCTTTGAACCATATCTAATCTCGATAACAGCCTGTTGATCGTTATCACTTTGATCAGAGAGTCACACTTCACCCCCAAAACACTGCTTTTTTCAGGTGCAAAGGCAAAGTCTGTACATGTATACTTTTTTAGCCTATTAGATAATAAGTTGTTCACGTCCTGGCTTGCAAGTCTCAACTGTTTTGAGGGAAACAAGAACATCCTATAAACATAATTCAGTAAGAGGGCGTTCTCTAGGAAAGTTCTTTCACCCTTCTGTGTGTTTGAAGCTGGCGTCCGTGTGTTTGAAGTATATGTAGTATTCTTTGCACTCAACAAGGATCGGTAACTATTATGTCATAAACTGTGTTCCTTTTGCCAAGAATAGGTAGTATAAACACAGGACCGTGAAAGTATTTTGAGAGTACTTTTAGAAAGTATATCAGTTCAAGGTCTTTTGTGTTCGAAGATATTTCTGTGTGTTTGTAAGATCGATGCTTTCTGAAAGAAATACATGTGCAGTTCTACTGGTAAATATTAAATGTGCCCGCTGGGAAAATCGCACAGCAAACTCTAACTGAGTTACTGCATTCAATTAATTGTAAAATAACTTTAAATATAGTCGTCTATTCTCTGAAAAAAGGTTACATGACCAGTTAGAGTACTCATACAGAGGATGTATAGGACACGATGTGAAATAATTAACGATACAAACGGAACATTATCAAGTATTATTGAACAATATTTCCGTTTCAGTATTCAAATATTTCCAGAAAGTGTTACACATTTAGATACATGTATATGTAGGAACCCCTTTAGTTTGTGATTGGATAAGATTTATCCAGCGAGTATCCCTGAACCTTTAGATAAAAGGAGAGAAAAAAACGAATCTCTCCTGGTACAGATCATAGTCAATAAAAAAATGTATTTTTCAGGATTACAATATAGAATGAAAGTACCTCTCTGACGAAATTAACAATATTTAGGTTCTCCGAGATTATTTTTGTAGGAAAAATAGAAGAAAATAGGAAATGGGTGTAATCAACAGGAGTCAGAATATTGCTAACTCAAGAAATAGTGTGCTTTATAACTGATTGTTCCACAGATTTGGACCAAAGCCCCGCAAACTAGATGTTGACAAGCGATGTTACATGTAACAATTGTCCTCTGCTAAGGCTTGTATTCCGTCTATGTTAGTTCCACCCACAAATCTGTCCTCTGATTGGCTGATATCAGAAGTGGATCTTATAACATGAAAATAAAATCTACTTTTGGAGGGGTTTTTAATATAACAAGAAGCCCAAGGGCCTTAACGGTCACCTGAGTATGATACAACACTTTAAAGAATCCACAGAAGTATAAAACAAAATTAATTGATAGATGCTATGTTGCCCAAGAATTTCAAAATCTGGTAAAAATACCCTTGCTTATTGTAACGTGCGAGACCCGAGTGATCTCCTTGGGATCGAACTTGGTCTTCCCAAGTCGTACAGGGATGATAAGAATGCAAAATACACAAATACATGTACAATGAACAATTGCCTAGTGTGTGAGGTATTCAATTTATACAGATATGTTTT